ACGCATTTGAAACTTGTATATTAATTAATGGGTTATAGAAGGTAAAGAAAAACAAAACTCAGTGAAAATCATGAGAAGATGCGTAAGAAAAAAATTTTACGAAAGAAGTAGCTGAGGAGAAGTGGAGAAGGAAAAAAAGAAGACGAAGAAAATGCAGTTGAAGAATGTAGACAGAGGAAGAGAAAATGGGATGAAGAGGAACCGAGAGGAAGCAAGGTCAAACAAAACTGCTAAGGCAAACCAAATTGGCCCAACTTCTATCGTACTGTGTGTATGTTCCTAGTGCCTATCCATCTGAATGTAGAAATGTATATACATATGTGTGTAAATGTATTTTTGTAAGGGTGTCTATGTGTGTTTGCGTGTTTGCAGGAAACCATAGTTAACCGAGGGAGGAACAAGAAATGCCAATAAGTTAACAACGGTCGGGGCCGGTAAAATAACAGATAATGGGTGACGGTCGATTATGAGGCAGTAGAAAGTCTTCTGAGCGGAAAAGAGGACCACTGTCCACCGGTATTATAAGGTGGTTTATATCGTACGTAGTCGTAGCAGCTCTTTTTTAGTAGTTGTAATTTTCCAGTAGTATTTAATCGTTCAGGAACTGCTTTTTAGTGAACGGCTTCTTAAGATCTATTTTTGACTTTCTCGTTCTAGCTTTTTATTTCTGCTGCTAAATTGATATAATGAACTAATATTAATGGTATTAATACTATTGATAGTAATAACAACACATCTTTGTGTCTGAAATTAGTAAGTAACAGTTTTTTTATTACTGTTACGAGTCATAAATTCGGTACGTCATTTGTTTTATTTCATTTTTTTTATTTATTTTTTTTTCGCTCACGACGGATAAGTGTTAAGTGTTACTGAACTTTCGCCGTTACTGTTATTATTGCAGCAATTGTATTAACCAGCAGTATCATCGCTTCTGCGGTTGGTTCTTTTTACCTGTAATTTTGTATGATCTTATGACGCCAATATAAAGAGAAGAAGTGCTGCCGCTGCATTCTAAATTTCTGTTGCTGCATTTAACATCTCGTTGCTGTTGGTGTTGTTGTTTTTGTCGCCGTCGCCGTAGTAGTAGTAGTCGTCGTTGTCGTCGTCGTCGCCGCCCTATACCCGACCGTCGCTGTCTGCCGCCTCTACCAAATTGCTTGCTGTTTCATTGCCAACCTTCGCCTCAATATCGTTATGTGGTCGTCTCCTTTACTCCTCTCCTTAACCAGCGTTTTTGGCCTACTTGGTTTGGCGCTTATCACATTGGCTTTAACAACTGATTACTGGACAGATTTCCAGGTAAAGAACTGTTGTCCTGCAATGACCTTTATTTCATTCATTGGCATTTAAATGCCGTTTAAGTTTGTGAGTAACGTTTTTTCACTCCAGAATTCAAAAAACAATAGTACGAAGAGTAAAAATGGCTACAAAGTTGAAATATGCCGAAGATCGCTTAAGAAAAGACTGAATATAAGTTTTTAGATTGTTTGACTTGTTCATCCTCTCTTTTTTTGTTCAACTATTTGTATCACAAAAATTTCTTTTTAATGTAATTTTGTATTTTAGTTGTTGTTTTAGAATTTTTGACTTTTTTTTGGAAGTCCGAGTTACAATTTTTTTTTGACGCATGAAAAAATGAATTTATATATCATTAACAGATATCACTGTAGACTTTTGTAAGCTTTTTTTTGCGATTTTTTGAAATTGCTTTGGCTTTGTTACTGTTCAGTTTCATTTAGGAGTTTGGGACAGAAAATAAAAAATTGTTTTTTTTATTGATTTAGCTACTGCAGTTAGGTAGATCGATAGATGAGTAACTTTTTACTGAGGATGGATCTAGAAAACCGAATACAGAATTGTTCTTTTTTGAGATCAAATAACTAAATTGCTTTTCTTGGAGAGTCAAAAGAGAAAACTGAAAAAAAAGAAGCTATTTATTCTTTGATAACTACAATAGCGTTCACGGTTACAATTATTTTCTACTTTTTTTAAGTAGAAAACCATTACTGTTAGATGAAATGAACTGAATTGAACTGAGATGAGCTGAGCTGAGTTGATTTGAACACAGTTCATGTTCCTGATACATCCTGTTGTAACCGAGGCATTTTGAAGGTGAATCGAAAAGAAATTAGAAATACAATACGTTCACAAAAAGAGTTGAACGATCGTTTGGAACCTGATTTCCAACACAATACACTGTATTTTTCACGAAATTACGGTCTCTTCCTCATATGTTTCCCGGATACAGTCCCATCAGGTAAAGATAATAACAGTAATGATGATAATAATAATAATAATAATAATAATAATAATAATAATATAATAATAATAATAATAATAATAATAATAATAATAATATAATAATAATAATAATAATAATAATAATAATAATAATAAGAAGAGTCTATCATACAGTTTTGTTGAACAAATTATTTCTGTAGTTATAAACAGTTTTCCTTAGTTTAAAAAAAAAGTTCTAGTTTTTTTTT